TCATGGAAGTTGGGGGGATCAACAGCTATTAGCTTTGACGTCAGGATGACTGCCTCTGACAGCCCCCTGTTGGGAATATTGGTAGGTTCTCTGTTGCAGTTGGTTAGCCAGTGTGAGAACAGATTGATGGTCTAGTTTGATCGAGCAGGGCATGCTTCTGCTTATCTAATTTTATACTTACTGTGTTTCCCCCAAAATAAGACCCTCTTATATTTTTTGAACCCCAAAATTAGTGCTTGGCCTTATTTTCGGGGAGGTCTTATTATTTTGGGGCACGTGGAACAAGATGGGGATCCTCTTGCAGTCTTACCTGATTTCCAGCTCTGTCTCTCTAACCCTAACCAGAGGAAATGGCGGCTGCACATGTGTTTAAATATTTTTGGGGAGGTCTTATATTCGGGGGAGGTCTTATTTTCGGAAGAGGTCTTATTTATGGGGAAACACGGCACATAAAATAGGTGGCATTTAATGAATGAAGCACTAATGCTTCATTCACTAAATGAATGAGAAATTCAATTCAGGTTGAAATGAAAGGGAATGCCAGTTTTCTGGAAGACCCGCAAAACCACATCTGTGTTGGATTAAACCCACATAACTGTATAATTGTTACGTCAGTATCAGAACACTAGACACACCCTCAGTGTACACAGAACATTAAGATTTGTGTGTGTGTCTGCTTTGTATGCTTATTATTAAGAAAGTCCGTGAAAACTCAGAAACTGTCATTTAATTTTTTTCTGAATCCATTTTTAATAAGGGCAAACAGGTTGCTTTCTTGGTCTATGCAACAAATGCAAGTAGAACCAAAAATGTGAGTTCAAAGAATGGCTGTAGAACAGTGGTCCCCAACCTTTTTATCGCCGCGGCCCACTGAGCGCGCGCAGGGGTGGGGGCACGGCCCAGGAGCTTTTGCGCACGGCCCATTGCGCACGGCCCAGGAGCCTTTGCGCTGCAGCGTTCATGTCCCCCGGCCGCTGCGCGGCCCGGTGCCAGGTACTCCACGGCCCGGCACCGGTCCGCAGACTGGGGGTTGGGGACCACTGCTGTAGAAGACTTGGTGCTCAGACATATCTTCCCAGGGTTATTTTCTGGGCTGCTAGATTAATCATAAGTGAATTCCAAGGACATACCATTACCTTAACCCTATTTTGCACTTAGGATCTCAGCATAGTTTGGCTATTTTCTGTTACTTGTTGTTATCTGGATCCATTCAATAAAAATGGAAGAACACCAGTGGTTTAAAAAGTGGAGGGACCGCTAAGGCTACAATTATAATAATGTGATGTCAACCAGAAGTCAGCTCAACAACTGGCATGGCACCGATGTTTAGAATGGATGATGACATCAGGTTGAAATGCAATGGAATGCCAGTTTTCTGGAAGGCTCCCAAGACCAGAACTGTGTTGGATCAGACTAACATATTGTATAATAGTTGTGTCAGTATCAGACCACTAGACACAACTTCAGTATATCCAGAACATTGGAATTTTATCCCACTATTATATGGATCAACCTGCCTGCCCTCTAACTGTATGCTTTGCACTAGGCCCACCAAATCTGGACAACCCCTAGATGGCAGTAAAAAGCTAGTTTTCTGTAATTTGCAGCAATCTAGTATAGTCTGAAATTTTGTAGTCCAGATGTGGTAGGCCCACTTCTTATTCCCAAACCTGTCAAAGCAAACTTATATTTATTTCATTATTTATTTATTTAATTTGTATGGCCATCCATTTCACCAATGACTCTGGACAATGAGCAAATTTTTAGAAGGAAAATAATTAAAATAATGCACATTAAAATGCTTAGCAGATGAAAATAAATCACATGACTAAATTAATCACAAAACTGATCCCTACATACACTCAGGGCCCCAGGCCTGTTCACAAAGTTAAGTCTTATGAAAAGCCAGAGGGTCAGGACTACAGGTAGTCCTTGACTTACAACTATTTTACTGACCATTTGAAGTTACCAATGGTCCTGAAAAAGTGACATGACTGTTTTTCACACATGTGACTGTTGCAACATCCCTGTGATCACACGATCAAAATTCAGGCATTTGGCAAGTGGCATGTACTGATGATGATTGCAGTGTCCCCGGGTCATGTGTTCACTTTTTGCAACCTTCTGACAAGCAAAGTCAACAGGGAAGCCAGATTCACTTAACAACCATGTTACTAACTTAACAACTACAGTGATTCACATAACAACCAGGAAGAAAGGTAATAAAATGGGACAAAACTCACTTAAGAACTGTCATGTTTAGCAACAAAAATGTTGGGCTCGTAACAATTGAGGACTACCTGTATCCTGATCTCTGGAGGCAAAATGTTCCATGAAGCAAGTGCTACAGCAGCAAAGACACATCTGGGATCTGCCAACTGGCATTCCTTAGCTCAGGCATGTCAAACACGCGGACCGCAGGTCAGATACGGCCCATGCAGGTCACGCCCATTTCAGCCCTGCAAGGACAAAAACAATCCCGATATGTCACGATAAGAGCCACAACGCGATCGGGTTTGACACCCCTGCCTTAGCTGATAGGACCCAAAGAATGCCCACCGTGCCTGACAACTGGGGAGAAATAGTTCTTCAAGTAATCTGGTCCCAAATCATTAGGGGCTTTAAAGGTGACAACCAGCACCTTGAATTGCACTTGGAAATATACTGGCAACCAATGCAGCTCCCAGACGAGGTGTTATATACATGTAGTCCTTGATTTATGACAATTGAGCCCCAAATTTCTGTTACAAAGTGAAATATTTTTAAGTGAATGTTGCCCCATTTTACGACTTTGCTTGCCACAGTTATGAATCACTGAAGTTCTTAAACTAGTAATAGGGTTAAGTGAATCCAGCTTCCTCATTGACTTTGCTTATTGGATCACAAAAAGTGATCACATGACCCCGGGACACTGCAACCATTATAAATATGAGTCAGTTGCCAAGCATTCAAACTTTAGATCATGTGACCTTGGGGATGCTGCAATGGTTGTGTGAAAAACTATCATTAAGTATTGTACCTTATGATTCTTGATATAACGTATCTTTTATTTTATGTACACTGAGAGCATAGGCACCAAGACAAATTCCTTGTGTGTCCAATCACACTTGGCCAATAAAAAATTCTATTCTATTCATAAGTCACTTTTTCCAATGCTGTTGTAACTTTGAACGGCCACTAAATGAACTGTTTTAAATTGAGGACTACTGTATGCACTGAATAACCACCCCCATTTACTAGCTGGGCTACTGCATTCTCCGCCAGTTGAAGCTGATGCCTGTGGATTTCCTGGCGAGGCTTCTCAGAGGTGCAGGTAGTCCTCAACTTACAACCACAACTGAGCCCAAAATTTATGTTGCTAAATGAGAAATTTGTTCAGTGAGTTTTGTCCCATTTTACGACATTTCTTGCCACATTTCTTAAGTGAATCACTCAAGTTGTTAAATTAGTAACACGGTTGTTAATGTGTGGCTTCCCATTGACTTCATTTGTCAGAAGGCTGTAAAAAGCATTTCACGTGATTCTGGGACACTGTGACCATTCTAAATACGAACCAGAGGTCAATCATCCAAATGTAAACCACATGACCACGGGGGATGCGTGAAAAATGGTCCTAAGTCACTTTTTTTCCATTGCCGTTAACTTCGAACTGTTGTAAAGTCGAGGACTACCTGTAGTTTTGCCCTTGCCTGCTTAGGCCTGAGAGTGACTGGCTTTGTACCTATAAAGGCTGGACTAGAACGACACCTCTGATTTCTACAGCCTGATGACTTAACCCAGTGGGTCTCAACCTTCCTAATGCCGCGACCCTTTAATACAGTTCCTCATGTTGTGGTGACCCCCAACCATAAAATTATTCCTAAAACCATTGAAAATATGTGTTTTCGGATGGTCTTAGGCGACCCCTGTGAAAGGGTTGTTCGACCCCCAAAGGGGTCCTGACCCACAGGTTGAGAACCACTGACTTAACCACTAAGGCACTGAGCTTGTCCATCAGAAAGGTCGGCAGTTCGAATCCCTAGTACAGGTCACCTGCGTGAGCAGGGGGTTGGACTAGATGACCTCCAAGGTCCCTTCCAACTCTGTTACTGTTACTGACTCCTCCGAAAAGAAAAGCGGCCGCCTCTGTCCACCTGCAGCAGAGGCTTTTTTCTCTTTCTCAGCCTGGCAGGGAGAACAAGAGAGACATGGGAAGCGCCAGGGAGAACCAGCCGCTTCCACCCACCGGCCACTTTCCTCAGGTTGCAGCGTAGCAACCGCGCGCTTAAATAAAAGGTAAGCCTGAAAAAGGCACGCAAAGCAGCGGCTGGAATTTCTTCCCGAAAGTGCCAAAGCATTTCCCATTTCACTGGGCAAGCGCGGCCCCAGAAAGCCCAGAGGCGGCTTCCCTTGGCAATGTCTGCCGGGATCCCCAAGGGCAAGGGAAGACCCTGCAAAACCACGCGAAAGCCGTGACGCGAACTCGATCTGCCTAAGCTAAAAAAAAAAAAAAAAACGCGGGGAAGCTTCGCTCTCGCCCCCGCATCTCTAAACTGCACCTTTCTCTCTGCACCTCCTTGCTCGGGGCCCCGCGGCTCTGCCAATCAATCAGCTCCCACCACACACACACACACACACACACATACGGTCACTGCACGAAAAGGAAGCGCTTCCCTCCCGCGCGCCCAGTTTCTACAAACCCTTCCCCCCCCCCCCCCCCCCCCCCCCGCGCCCCCTCCCCCCCCCCCCCCCCCCCCTCCCCCCCGCCATGTCTTCCGAACTCCGGGAGCCGAGCGTGCCATTGACTCAATTTTGAATAACCCCTCCCAAGCGAACGGCCAGGGTCGGCTTCCGACGCTGATTTGCTCGCGCGGTTTCGGGCCGTGACGTGAGCACGCACGCTGCGTCTCTCCCGGAAGTGAAGGAAGCGGTGCGGGACCCAGTAATAGTAACAAGCGGCTGCCTGGGCTTCTACGGTGCCCTCTGCAAGGGGTTTCCCTCCCCCACCCCCACCCCCCCACCTCCCTCCTCAGACTTTGGCTCGCTTTGGCAAAGGGAGAGCGAAGGGGAGGGGGAGGCCGAGCGGAGCTCCTTGCTTTGGCTTCCCCGCTGAGGGGTGGCTTGAGCAGCGGCGGGAGGAGGTGGCGGCGGCGGCGACGGCGGCGGCTGTGGAGGGTGGGGGAGAGAGAGCAATGCGGCTCCGCCGCCAACAGCTCTGCCCGGACGCCACGCTTCCGCCACAGCCCCTTCCTCCTCCTCCTCCTCCTCCTCTCCCCTCCTCCGTCCTCCTCACGCCATCACTGGGGGCCACGGCGTAGTGGCCCGCCCCCCCCCCTTCCTCCCTCCCTCCCTCAGCACCGTAGGTATGAGACCCGCCGAGACTCCCCGCCAGCACCAAATTCGGGTATGTGATGTCTCTTCTTGCTAGCCGTAGTTTAGCTGGTGGAGGTTGTGGATAATGGTGGTGGTGGTGGTGCGAAGAACAACAAGAGTAATCACGTCCTGGCCTTCCTCAGAACCATCATCATCATCACCCCTGCTTTCCCTGCTCTCTTCCCCCTTCCCCCCTCCCTCTTTTTTTAAAACCCAGCAGAGGGTAGTTCTGGGTGGAAATTGCCATCTGGACTGGGGGAATCCTCTCATTCCATTCATTCAGGTTTTTCTCGCCTTCCCATGAATCTGCAGGGAGGCCAGGAGTTTTCACTTCCTTTGAAAGAGGAAGGGAGGGGAGGGGAAATGAAGTGGGCAGCTAAGAATTGAATGAAGGAGAAAGCTTTGGCACAGCTCTTTTGCCTTGGCCTTGCCAACCTTCATCATATTGTCCAGCAACTGATGGGGCAAAAACCTGCAGTGTTCTGGTGCTGCTTTTTTCTTGATATCGTTTCCTTTTTCTTTAAAAAAAAAAATATCTTCCTTTATCAGTCAAGATAACACATTCTAGAGAAGGGTGTTTTATTTCTCATTGGCTTTTAAGGGACTACTAAAAACTTCAGAATGTGGCTTGTTGGAGAAAATGGTTTTCTTGTCCTTCTGGACTTTTCTTGCCCTGCAAAGAATGACCTCTCTAGTGGGCCCTATTCTTATTTAGATGAATACACTTTAGAAAGGTATAATCAAAATAATTTAGTTGTAGTTGCTTCATGAATCGCTTCCACAGTTTTGTTATGATATATAAGTTCTGATCATGTTCCGGAAGCATAAAATGCTTGGCACTTTAGAAGCTAATAAACATAACTTCAGTATAAGATTCTTTAAGCTAAAAGTGTGTTTTTGTGAATTAGTATATTGGATAAAGTAGGCCCTAATTTCTACAGGAGATTTGTTTTTAAAACAGCGTATGGTTATAGTTTTTCACGAAGGGCTTTGTCATGCTATTCTATATTTATTAGTCTTCAAGTTCTGATACTGCCTGAGGAGCCCCTGATGTTCAGTCGAGATGGTGTGACATAAGGGAAACCTCAATAATAAGTTAAGCAATAGTTTCCAGAGTTAAATAGCCTCAGAAATATGATCATGAATATGTGAATTGGTGGGCTCTGATTCATACAATAATAGAACTCGTGCTCTAACCTCCAGCTGCAACTTGTTGCATAGGACAGTAGTTGGAGCCAAATAATGTAAGAGGCATGAAGAAAGGGCTTTTACAACCATCAGTTCATCCATATCAATTTCTGCAGTGCACTCCTACTTTCTAAACTTACCTACTAAACTCTCTTTTAAGTTTAAAGGGCAAAAGTTTCTTTTAGCTCTTTCTTGTCTATGGCTTTAAGGACACCTGTAGCTCAGGTATCTTCTTGCCCATGTCATATCTAAGTCCTCATTAGCTTTGGTGAGGATCAAATGGGAACTCTAGTAGTGTGGTAATTCTGAATGCTCTACTTAGGCAGCAATGAGACTTCAACAAGTGCTGCAGACGTTCCTATGTTATACACAAGCATGTTTTATTGAATATACAATAACTGACTGACTTCACACATTGCACTGTCATAAGCCATAATGAGTTGGCTTAATGGCTAAACAAATTATAAGTTTCCATAATTTACTTAGCCAAAACTAAACCACCTTATGGTTTAGCATGATGCATAACCCTATCATTTGTAGCCTGGTGGAGAACAGTTGAAGAGACCATTACTACATACTGCAGATTAGATTTCTACAGAAAGAGGAGTTACTCCTGCCTTCTTTTGTATTGCTAAAAAAAACCCTCCCATTTCTGATGTTGTAGACTCTATTATTTCTTCTCGGGGTAATATTGCCAAGGCTTATCAAACGATTTCTGTTGTACTTTATTATATGCATTCTGTTTCAAATCTGTACTAGTTATAGGTGATGATTTATTCTGATGTAAATTATTTTGTTTTTCCTGATGCTGTCATCACTTTATGTGTAGTATTAGTATAAAAAGTTTTTTTTTTAAGTTGCTTGAATGAAACAGGTGAACAATCAAGTGAATGTAGTTTCATGCCATAAGACTTTCTCCTTCTAAGTCATGGGTCAAGTCAAACTCGATCGCGTCACATGATGTATCATGACATATCGTGATGGTTTTTGCCTTTGCAGAGCTGGGGTGGGCGTGGTCTGCACATGGCGCATCTATCCTGTGGGCCGCCAGTTTGACAGGCCTGTTCTAAGAACATCATCCCCATAGATGTTCTATAAAGAGTTTTCCCACCCTCTGCAGCAGAGGTAGAGAAATGTAAATAGAAAGGGAAATTTATCCTGTGTAAGGACGCCACTCCACCAGTAAGTAGATGTGGCCTGGAATGTAAGATATTGTGTTGGGTCCCAGTTCCAGTTTTTATGGATTTTATTTTCAGTATTTAATTTGAACATAGTTTGTTTGCTTGTACATTAGTTAGCATTCACAATCCAGATTTCTGCTTGATAGAATTCCTAAAAGTTTCTCGCATATCTTTTTTCATAGCTTTAAACTGATAATTATATTTGCTGTGTAACTCCAGGAGCAATGAAAATAGCTATTAAAATGGTATAGAACCTTTTGGTCTATAATCTTCAGGAATCACATCGCAGAGCAGTTTGAAATATTCCAATAATAGGTTTTGCAATGACTACCCTCTAGTCCTAAATGCACTTAACCAGGATGCAAGTTAAATTATTTCAGTGGAAGTTCAGCACAGTTTATTTGGAATCAGTAATGGCTCAAATTAATCTGCTTCAACCTTTTTTTTTTGTACTTACACAGGAAATGAATCTCTGGTATGGTGCTATTGCTGAAGTCACATTGTAGTTACTGAATCACTCTGTTTACTACAAATTACATGTCTCAGCTTCTTTGGTAGGCAAGTCTTGATCCTCCTATGGCAATAATTACCTTTTAATTAATAGTTTTCAAGCACCTCAAGTATGTCGGATTGTGTTTCCTTCTACTCCAGTATAAAGGGAAAGTGGTTTGTGCTTGTTGAAAATTCTGTTCAAACGTAGTAAATTGTAAAACTGCTAGGTGTTGTATATTTTACAAAGAGTTCTATGAATATGCAAAAACAGGCATTAGCTACCAAGTTCCACAGAATTCTTATAAAATCATTTTCCTTGATTATTACTCTGTTGGATGACAATTGTGCACTATTGTACAATTGTATCATGTTGTATTATCTGTTAATGTGTTAATAAGGTTCATATCTCAAAAGTTCAGTCCAAGGGGTTATAGGCTTATAGCACAAAGATAAACTCTAGTAAGCATCTTCAGACTAAACATATTACTGAGAAGCCTTTATTAAATATTTAGAAATTCACCACGTCCAGATTCATGTAGTACAAGAAAGAAAATTGTTCCTAACAGAAGCTGACCTGGCTTCTGCAGGCAAATATCTTTTAAGGATGGCTTTTTCTAAAGTGTGTAGGTTTATGAACTTGCTCAATAGTGCTAATTATCTGCTTGAATTTTGAGTTGTAAGGATAGAAACTTTGGTCCACTGTGTACCGTTACATGATTACAAGGAGTCACTTGAAGCAATAAGTAGATATAACTTCAAACTGGACTCTCAGTAAAAAGCTTCAACCAAGTATGCTTTAACAACTATAGTTGTTACATATCTATGTTACAAAGCATAAATACATGCTGTTATAATATATATATTCTTGCTTAAAAATGTAACATTTGACTAAATTAGGAAGCTTAGAGAATTGCAGTGACCTAGCTCCTAAAAGAAAATTAAGTATTTTCTTTTAAACTTAAATAGCAACTATTTGAACTACCAGTTCAAAACAATGTGTTGTTTTGAAATAGTTGTTATGCAAGTGTAAAAGACAGTTCTTGATTTGTCAGTTAATATATTTTCCAATGCTGCATCAATTTATTGGCAAGAAAAATGCATGTGGGAATATATATTTAAAAGACAGCTTTTATCTTATGGCTGGAAAGTAATCTTTGTATTAAGTGAATGAATGAAATAGTTTTACTTTATCAAAGAAGTACCTACCAGGAAGATGTAGTCTTCTCACATTTGCATTTTGTAGATTCATGAAGGGAAGAATAGGGACTGTTTTATATCCGTGAAAGCAAAGGAATAGATCCCAAGGTAATGCATATGCTTTTTGCTGATAGGAGTTTTCTTTTGTGGTTTGGAAAAAACCCTACTGTTTAGCACTTTGTAGCAACACATGTTTGGGAACAGACTAAGCCCTTCTAGATGGTACTATCACTACTCTCTAATCCCTGAAGTTTTTTGAAGTTGGCTCTGTGATTGTCTGCATTCAGGCTGACTTCAGACTGTTGACAGCAGATAGGGAATACTATGAGTCAATCAGTTCTTCCTTCAGTCAACCAGTAGGAGAGTACAAAAATGATCAATCAATTATTGTGTCTTGAGCTCCAGCAGCTCCTGGAGTAACAAAAATCCTCTCAGGAACACTATTGAAAACTGAATAATCAATTCCTTTTCCTACCCTTATGTTTATAACAACTGTTGTATGAGTTAGTCTGGCCATTGTGCAAACAAAAATCTCAACTGTTGGGATGAGTGATAAATTGTCTGCATGTCAAGGTGTTATTCTTCCTGCAAATATGTTCCTGTTGAAAACTATAGTAATGGTAAAACACTGTAATTTTCTTATGAAGCCCTTTTGTCCAGTTTCAAGTAACCCACAAAGACTGGGAGCTAAACTAAGGCAAGCCTATAAGTAGGCTAAGTTAAACCTGTTCCTTATTTAGATGCATTATGAAAATTCCTAGAAGGATTAAGATTGAGTTTGCTGATAATATGCTATATATTAAAGAGTGCTGAGTTCAGATTATTGAAAGGAGGATGAAGAAAACATTCTTTCAAATGGGAAAGTAGCCAAATCCTTAATCCATGAAGTTTGCAATTTTAGTTGTGTTATGACTGAGATTGAAAAAAGTTGGTTCAGTTACTTAAGGAAGGTAATGTCTTGAGAATGCAAAAG